TGATAGTGATGCTAATAGTGAGCATGATGGTGCTGATATTGATGATACTGATCACGACGACGATTGATGATGACGGGGATGATGACGATGATGATAAGTATGATGATGATGCTGATGATGCTGATGGCGATGATGATTATCACGACGATGATGATGAGGAGCAGGACGATCATGACACTGGTGATGACGACGATGGTGATGGTATTAATAGTGGTGATGGTGATGATGATACTTATGATGATGTTTCTGATATTAATGATGATGATGAGGATGATGATGACGCTGATAATGATGATGATGATGATGATGGTGATGATGATGGTGTGAGGGTGATTACGGTGATGTTGATGATGACGCTGATGATGAAGATAATGATGATGATGCTGATGATAGTATGACGTCCCGATGATGATGATGATGATTGATGATGATGCTGATATGCTGATGGTGGTGGTGGTGGTGGGTGGCGGCGTGTGTGTGTTGATGATGATGATTACGATGACTACGACGATGTGATGAGATGATGATGATGATGGGGATCATGTGATGATGGTGGTGGGCATGATTATTCAATCGCTTCCCTCATTCCGCCGGCCCATGTTGCATGATCGCTACTGCTTCGCCGTGGGCCTGGGGCCATTGTGGCGCCGCCGAGGAGGATGAGGAGGAAGATGAGGATGGGGAAGGGGAGGGGAGGAGGAGGAGAGGATGAGAAGGAGAGGAGGAGGATGAAGATAAGTAGGAGGAGGAGGAGGAGGAGAAGGAGGAAGGGGAAGGGGCGGAGGAGGAAGCCTCTCGTTGGCATCTTGTGTTGCTCTTGGGGCCAAACAGGGTCGTCGTCAAGATGCTTCTTTGGGAGGCCTCTTGTGGTCTTTTGAGAAGCCGTTCGGGGGCGCCTGGGAGGCATTTTTGAACTTCTGGGGCCTTTTGGGGCCTCTTTTGGGCCGCCTGGGGGCCTCTTGGGGGCCTCTTGGGGGCCTCTTGGCGGCCTCTTGGGGCCTCTTAGGGGCCTCTTGGGGGCCTCTCGGGGCCTCCAGGGGCCCTCTTGGGGCGGAAGGCTCGAGGTTTCGGTTCGTGGTCCCCCTCTTGGGCCCCTCTTGGGGCCGTCTTGGGGCCGTCTTGGGCCGTCTTGGGCGCCTCTTGGGCCGTCTCCGGGCCCTCTTGGGCCCTCTTGGGGCCCTCTTGGAAGCCTCTTTGGGGCGCTCTTGGGGGCCTCTTGGGCCGTCTTGGAGCATCGGATAGCCGAAAAGGCGACAAGGCCAAAATCCTTCCAAAACCATTGTAAAATGTATGATTTTGGCCTCTCGAGCCCTCTTGTGAGGCCTCTTGGAGGCCACTTCGAGGCCTCTTGGGCCGTCTTGGGGTCATCATCGGCGTCTTGGAGCGCTCTTTGGGCGTCTCGGGGGCCTCTTGGGCAGTATTGGGGACCTCTTGGGTCAGGAGGGGGGGTAGTCGATTGCGCCCCTTCCCTCGGAGGCCACGATCCTCGTGAGTGGTGTCGAAAAATTGCCCGGTCAGGCATCTCTGATCCGAGTGTCCCGGGGGTGTCCCGGGGATCTCCCTGGGTACTTTTCGTCCGGAGACCCCCAGGGGCGCGGCCCCGCGCGCGCGAACTAGAATATTGTTAACCAGTTACCGGAGATCTTAGCACGCCCTTAGCCCGTTGGGCCGGCGAATTGTAATGGTAATGGTGATGATGAGGGTGATGATGTTTGTGATTGTGATGGTGGTGGTAATGGCAATGGTAATTGTGACGAGGAAGATGATGGTTGTTGATGATGTTGTTGTTGATGATGATGATGATGCTGATGATGATGACGATGATGCGGATGATCATGATGATGATGGTGGTGGTGATGATGATGATGATGATAGTGATGATGATAGTGATGATAATGATGATGATGATGATGATGATGATGATGCTGATGATGATGATGATGATGATGATGCTAATGATTATCAGGATGATGAGGATGAGGATGAGGATGATGATGATGATGAGGAGGAGGATGATGAGGATGAGGATGAGGATGATGATGATGATGTTGACGATGATGATGATGATGATGATGATGATGATGATGATGATGATGATGATGATGATGATGATGATGATGATGATGAGAAGGACCAGGAGCAGGAGGGTGATTTGTAGGTGGTGGGGTTTTGCCCAGCCGCCAGAGGTCTCTGACCGTTCTGGAGTTGGAGTCCAACCATGCTAGAGGAGTCGCAGGCTGGCCTCCTCGTCCCCTTCCTCTCCTCCGCAGCGACAGCGACAGCGACACGAGGTGAATCCGAGCAGCATGCACCACATCAATTACTCAGAGACGCAGTTCGATTTCTTGCGTCCTCCCTTGGTCCTCTACTCCCCCTCTTCCTCTTCGTAACGGCTTCAGCGTTCTTTCAATGCAAACGCGTTTTCTTACACGCATCGCACCGGCCTCTCAAAGAGCCTAGGTTGAAGCGTACAGCAATCCCCTTGCATCGTCGTCTCCCGAGGGCTCCGGCTCCCCAGCCCCCCTCACAGGGCTGGTCCCGCCGGACCGACACCGCCCGCTCGCTCTTCGCCACGACCCGGGCATCAACAGTAACCCACCACCACCTGGATGACCACCACGAAGCGGCGCCAAAACCGACAGGGGAGTGGATCGTGAAGAGTTTTGAGGGGATGGCACTCGGCGGTCGATGCCTCCGGCGGGGCGCTTCAGGCAGCAGCTCAGCATCACGGCGCGGGGAACGGAGCAGCGCGAGCTACATTCACACCCAGCGCCAAGATGGACCGAAATGGCTTCACGGTACTCAAGACGCACAGCGAGAAAACGAGTAGATCACAACCGTGGCGTTTACCATAAGTGCTGGGACCACAATATGATGCCTTTTTTTTCGATCAGAGCACTTGTACGACATGTCGGGGGAGCCTACTCACAGAACGCACGGCCACATCGTTGCCATCTTCTGGAGACGCATGACGAAAGGACGCAGTTGAGTTTGGCGAAGTATGGAGAATCGGGTTATGACCGCGGCGTGAAATCATTCCCGTATGTTTCCAGGGGCTGCGGTTCCACGTGCCCCCACTCGGGCGTGACTTTACCCACCGTGGAGCCGGGTGAACGCTCGCTCGCTCGCATTTGTACATGTTTCTCCTCTTCTGTGCCCCCCTCCTCCCTCCCCCCTTCCCCATACATCCAGGAGGCGGATGTCTGGAGGTTGCCTGAGGAATGCAGGTTCTGGGGCGCTCGGTTGGGTCTTCGAATCCCCGGCTCAGAGGTTCATCAGTTTCAATCCTCGCAGCGCTGCGAGACATACGCTGCGCGGCCTTGTGTTCAAGAGGCTTGCGCCATTCCGCCGACCTCTGCCCACGACGTGCCCGGCCTCGTTGTTCACGAGGCTTACGCCACTGCGGCCTGCCACTGGCCCTCCGTGCCGCTTGCGTGCACCTGCTGCGGACTCGACCACCTCGTCCTCGGCGCCTGCCGAGGGGCCTCCTCGGGGCACGCGGGAGAGGAGTGGGAGGGTCGCTGAAGGCTCGGCGGCGCGCCCGATGGGGATGAAGTGCGCGGGAGACTGTGTGGTGCGTGCTACCCTCTGGCGCGCAACGGTCGCACCCCTGCCAGGCTCCCTCCCCCTGCCTCCCTGGAGGGTAACGGTCACGATCGGACCTGGGCAGGGGGCCCCCCCCCTGGTGGTGCTCGTGCGCATACCAGGCATGGCGATCGCAGCGTACCCTCGCCCCGACGTGCCCCACCCCGCCCGAGCATGCCGTTACCCCGAGCCCAAACCCCTCCCCCCTTGGGTAACGATCGCTACCAGAAAGAATACATACATATATATATATATATATATATATATATCAGGGGGCAAGCCTTCTCAGAAGTCGCGGCGGGGCTTCTCAGAGGCCCTCCTGGGGCCTTCCAGGAAGCCCTCTGTGTCCTCGGGGGAGGCTTAGGAAGTTTCTCAGAAGGCCGAAGGCTGAGAAGGTCCGCCCCCTCCGCGCGCCACCGAAGGAAGGCGGCCGCTCGGCTTTGCCCCAGCCCAGCGTGATCCCCCGGGCTCTCTCGGCAGGCGTCTTCTGGTGGACAGACGCGGAGGACCACAGCCGGTACCTCTCCATGGCGGCGGCGAACCCGCGGCTGCAGTCGCCACAGTTCGTCTGGTGCCCGAGGGGAAGCAGCAGCAGCAGCAGCAAGCAGCGGCAGCAGGATCGGCGTCACCCCAGCATGCTAAGACTATGTGTGCGTCGCCCCCCCTGGGGCGACGCGCGCACCGAGAAATCTTCTAAGCAGTATATGAATCGTGGCGGGCGCTTTCTGGCCACACCGCTCGGGGCACGATATACTAACCAAGATGGGTATACTACCTGTTCGGGTCGGACACACGCCTCCAAGGAGGACACACAACACCAGTATGTCCTTGCGCGCCCCAGCAGGAGGAAGCTGAGAAGGAGTGGCCCCACTGCTCCACTCGGAGTCTGCGCACGGGCCTCACAGATCTCCGAGGAATTGGGGTTAAGTCGGATCTGTCCCTCCACAGGAGGAATATTCAAAGATAGTCAAGAAATAGTCAGGGGACGATTTTTGGAGTATTTTCGAGCATTGGTTTGGTATTGTGCGTCTATTCTTCAATTTTCGTCCACAATCCGCCTGCAGGGGGACACGCCCGACCTAAAATTGGGGAGGGGGGGGGGACCACGCCGCCGCGCCTGGCGCCGTGAGGCCTGGAGCGGGGAGGTGTATTCATCCAGTGGGCGGCGCGAGAACGCGAAGATGATCGCGCAGCGCTCAACACGAACGCAGGAGAACTTGGGGCAGGAGGGGCAGGGATCCTCCTCACCTCCACCACACTCCCCGACCTGGTGAGCGTACAGTGGAGGCCCATGCCAAGAAACTTCCTGCTTGCCTCCAGGGTGCCCTAGGTGTCTTGGGTTTTGATGGTTTTGCTACGGAAAGCGCGACGTTCCCACCAACAATTGCTGAACGTCTTGGGGTCTCAGGGTTGGGTTTCTTGTGGAAGGTTTCTTGTGGACTGGCCTCCGCTGTAGTCCTCCAGACGGCGTCGCGAGAACGCGCGAAGATGATCTCGCAGTGCTCAACACGAGCTCAGGAGAGCTTGGGGCAGGAGGGGCAGGGATCCTCCTCACCTCCACCACCCCCTCCCCGACCTGGTGAGTGTATACTCTGCACCCTCCCGGGTCTGGATTGTTCTTTTTTTTCATCCGGCGCCCTGACTCTCATCTGCTACGCCCACGAGTTTGAATATGTCGCGCAGTGCGCCTAAGTCGGATCACGTTCTCTGCATTGCCGCTTGTTCGTCGCACGAACGCCGCGATCACGGCCATCGAGGTCCGCCCAACGTCAGAGAAGAGGGGCAGGCGCTCCCTCGGCCCCTTCTGGCTGCGAGAGCCGCCTGGCCCGCTCAGACCCCACGCGGTCATGACCCGAGGAGCAGGAGACGAACCGTAGACGCGCTGACGGCGATGCAGGTGACGGCGATGCAGGTTTCGGTACTGTGGGAACGCGCGGCTCGTGCTTTCCTACAATTCGCTGTTCGCTCGATCCATCCGCAGGTCGAAGATGTAGGAAAGTGTGGTTCGTGATTCCCTGCAGTTCGGAACGCCGTTCTTTGTGCCGGCTTCCCCTCGGCAGCTATCAATGTCTAGACAGGAACGCGCCAGAGGAGTCACAGATCATCGCAGGGACCACTTCGGCCGAGTCGCCCACGGTCTAAGGCCGCAGGCTCGGAGCAGAGCCGACCTGGCCAGCAGGGAGCCATGAGTTGTTTTTCGATTGCTTCGTTCCGATTTGCTCTCAGTGCTGCTGCTCGTGGGAACGTGATCGCGAATGCCTTACGGCCAGCGCCTCCGACCCGGAAACCTGGACCTCCGTCGGGACTCCCGCTGGCGCTCTCCCCCAGGACCCGCCAGGACCCTGAGAGGGGGGGGGGGCGGCGGCATTCTGGCCCCGCAGGGCCCGCCAGGACCCCAGGGCGGGGCGGCGGCGTTCGGGCCCCGGACCGCCCCCCGGACCGCCCTCAGGCGGGACCCCTCCTGGGAACCCCGCTGGCGATCCCCCAGGAGAGGGGGGTCCCCTTGTCCCCCCGTCCACACGGGGGGCCCCCCTGGGATCCGCCAGGAGCTCCGGGGGGCTGCAATCTCACACGGGACCCCCCCCCGTGCCTCCCCCCGGCGTCAGGGAAGGGAAAAGGGAAAGAATCGACTTAATTGCAACGTTTCTTTGTTCTCTTCGTTTTTTGTGGGACTGGCGACGACGACGACGACGACGACGACGACGACGACGACGACGACGACGACGACGGCAGCGTCTCACACACACACACACACACCGAATGGTCGGCGGATATTCAGTGCTTCTGCGACGAGTATGGGGTCGATGACTGGAGAGCAGTTGGCAAACACATGCGTTCCTGGAGTTGTATGGCATGATCTGCTATTAACCATGCGAGCGCCTGCAAGTGTTCAGCCGCCTGTGCCTTTCGCGGCCACCCCTCCGCTGGCATGCAGCCTCCACCCCCGCTTCTCCCGCTTCCCCCTCCCTCGCCTCCACCTCGCCCTCCCTCGCCCTCCCCCTCGCGCTCCCCCGCGCCCTCGCCTCCCCCTCGCCCTCCCTCGCCCTCCCCGCTTCGCCTCCACCCCTCCCCCTCGCCCTCCCTCCTCTCCCCTGCCAGGGTGCCAATCGGGCCTTGCCTGGTGGGCGGCGGCGGCCGCCCACGCCAGGGGCATCTCGCCGATGCTGCCGTCCGCCCTTCGGTTACCTCACCTTGGGCCTGGCGTTGGTGCACGCACCCAGACCCCCACGATCAAGTCGCGAACTCTTGAGTCGGGCATGTCCCTCTACAGGAGGAATATTCAACTATGGTCACAACATAGTCTGGGGATGATGTTTCGATTACTCTTTGGCTATGTCTGAGTATTTTGTGGCTGTTTTCATTTGTTCTCTTCCAACATCCGCCTGTAGGGGGACATGCCCGACCTGAACCCAGACCCCCACGTGTCGCGAACTTTCAAAGCGCAGCGGAAGGCTTTTGGCCCTCACCGATTCTTTGGGCCGTAACAAAAAGCGACTCATGATGACAAGCGTGTCCTGGGGAAGGGTTCGAGACCTCCACGTCTCAGGGGGTCCACAGTGTGCATGAATCGCGGCGTCGGGAGTCCGGGTATGCCGCAGCGTCGTCGTCGTGCCTGTGTGGGACGGCGGGCTCGATTCGCGCTATCATCCAGCGTAGGAAGCCCGGCGCGCGCTGGGCCTCTTGAGGGTATCATGGAGCCTTCTTGGGGCCTCTTGGGGGCCCCGCCTTAGGGCGCTTTTGGGCCCTTTGGCGCATTCGGAGACCGTCTTGAGGGTCTCTCTGGGCCATGTTGAAGCGCTCTTTGGGCCCTTTTAGGGCCATCTTGGCGTCCTCTTGGGCCGTCGTGGGGTCCCCTTGGGCCATCTTGTGGCCGTCTTGAGGCATCTTGAAGCCCTCTTTTGGGGCTTGGGGCCTGTCTTCGGGCGCCAAGGCCATACCCTCAGAAAGGCGTGGTGCACTCAACCAACCCACCCTCCCTCCCCTCTCCCCCCCCCTCCCCATTCCCTCCTCCTTGTCCTCGACGGCGGCGCCGGCGCCGACCACCCTCTCGACGACGACGACGACGACGACGACGACGACGACGACGACGCCGACGACGACGACGACGACGACGACGACCAGCGAGTCCCCGCTGGGCAGTTACGCTGGTGAGCCGCCTGGGAACCTGAGGGACGAGCTGGACCTTGCCCCCAGGCTCCTCCCTCCGCCTGGACCCCGTCTGTCGTCGTCGTCGCCGCGGGAAGAGGAGGGGAGTGGAGGGAGCAGGGATGAGGGAGGTGTGAGGAGGAGGTGTGAGGAGGGAAGACAGAACATGAGTGTGGTGACGATGCGCATTGTGTTGATGGTGGTGGAGATGGTCATGATGATGATTATGACCGGGTTGGTGATCAGAGTCAGGATGTGGATGACGACATCGATTTGAGCTACGAGCATGACTCGGATGTGGACGATGATGGGAGTGAAGAGGGGAGAGGGCGGATGTAGGAGGGGAGGGAGTTGGAGGGAGTTGGAGGGGGGGTACGAATGCAGGAAACGAGAAGGGGAGGGAGGTGGGGAGGGGGACGGAGCTGGAGCAGAAGGAGTAGAACGAGGATGGGCAGGATAGGGAGGAAGCGGTCGGAGGAGGCAGAAGAGGAGAGGGGCCAGGAGAGTTAGGAGGCGGAGGGGACGCGGGCGGAGGCGGCGGGGATCAGAGGTGGAGGCGACCGTGGTCGGCAGCGGAAAGAAGTGGTGCACACACATCATTACAGTGGAGACCCATGCCAAGAAGCACCTTGCACGCCTCCAGGTTGTCCTGGGTTTCCTAGGTGTCGATGGTCTTGCCGTGGATAGCGCGGCGCTCACACATCCCAAATCAAGGGACATCCTGGGGTCTCAGGGTTGGGTTTCTTGTGGAAGGTTTCTTGTGGTCGGGCCCCTACTTTAGAAACTAGGCTGCGTGGCCAGGGGTCGTCCTGGCGTTGTTGACTGTGCAGCAAAGGCCAGGCCGGCGCGTTAACCGCGTGCGTTCCCTGGACAAGGGGTGCTCAGCCAGAGTGAGCTTTCTTATTCTGGCCGCGGTGGGTATGTGCACGTCTATTTTGCAAGTTATTTGTTTGCACGTAGTAGCTGGCAGACAATTGCCAATCGGCTTCCCGCCCCGGCCACGCTGCCAAACGCAGAACAGCTGAGACCATGTCGGTGCGCGCGCGTGGAAGGGAGCTGCACGGTGATGGAGCCGTGATTGACGGCGCCACGCGCGCGGGACGAGTTCGAACTTGCTGTGGTCGCCGGAACGGGAGCCGCCAGTCATCGCGCGCTGCCCACGCGGCTGGCCGCGGTGCAGATGGCTCTCCTGCGGTGCAGCGCGCCGCTGAGGGCGGGGGTGCTGTGTGCTCCGTGCTCCTGGTAGGTGCCACGCTTCGTGGCCGAGTGCTGTCATCAGCGGCGGGTCGCTCACAAGCCAGCAGGAGCCATCAGCGGCGCCCTGCCGCTGCGAGTCTGAGGGCAAGGGGTGTCCTGCGAAGACGGCACGCTCGGTCCGGTGGGGTCGGTGAGCGTGTTCGTGTATCTCTTTGGCGGCACCTGGCGAGAAGGATCGGAGGCGTTGAGGAGGAGGAGGAGGAGGACGGCGACAACGAAGACGACGACGGGCAGGATCGAGGAGGGCGCATGGAGGAGGGGCGAGCGGGGGCAGGCCAGAGGCACGGGGGGGAGCATGGAGCGGAGGGGGGACGGGGTGCAGGGATCGGGGTGCGCCTCGGTGTTCGGTGGAGGCCCATGCCAGGAAGCACCCTGCCTGCCTCCAGGGTGCCTTGGGCTTCTTGGGCTTCGATGGTCTTGCGATGGAAAGCGTGACGTTCCCATGCCAAAAATCAATGGACGTCCTGGGGTCTCAGGGTTGGGTTTCCTGTGCAAGGTTTCTTGTGGTCGGGCCCCCACACTGTACGCAGCTCTGTGCTGGCCGGTCCACCTGCCGGCGAAGACGCCCCGGTTTGGTGTTGGGTCCACGCGGAAATACGCAGCACGGGCTGGTCGCGGCTGGGTCGCGGGGGGGACGACGACACCAACAGCAGCAAAGAACAGCAGGCAGAATCTGGGCCTCGGAAGCCCGCTTCCTCCACACACCCAGGGCTGGTGTAAGACCGTTCGCCCCCCTCACTCTGACGAAGATCTTCAAGATGCCCACGAGGTCTCGAAGACGACCTGACCACAACGCCCCAGGAGGCCCCAAGATAGCCCGCGGCGACTGGCCTGGCTGCCCTGAGTCCCCCTGGCGTGCACTGCGGGGCGATGCTCAAAGGTGCCATTGCGGGACGGTGCTCGAGGGTGCAATTTCCTTCTGCAGGGCGAGGGTAGGGAAACCAAAAGGTACCGATACCACTGCTCCCCGGACCTCTGCGGGGGTGCTTTCTGACCAGGATTTCGAGGCGAATCCAGCGGTGGCGACGATTGCCTCCCAGGAGGCCCAAAAATTCGAAAGGGCATTTCTTGCTTATTTTAGAAATTTCTCTTCCAGAATCCGCCTGCAGGAGGACATGCCCGACCTCAGGGTAGCGGTAGCGGCATGGGTACCTTTGCCTCCCCTGGGCGGGGGCCGCGCCGGGCCGAGCGCGCGAGGCCGCCTCGGGCCGCCCCCGGTTGCCGCGCCTCCGACGCCGGTCGTCTGATCTTCCGCCCAGGGCGTCGACTCCTCCTCCTCCCTCCTCCCTCCTCCTCCTCCTCCTCCTCCTCCTCCTCCTCCTCCTCCTCCTCCTCGCCAAGAAGCCGCAATGGCGGGTCCCATGAGTCAGGGCCGGACCTAAAGGGTGTGGTGGCGACTTCGTGGGCCGTGTTCGTTTCGACTTCGTCTGGCGTGGAAGGCGGATTGAAGACAAAACGAGGGAAGACGAAAACGAAACGAAAACGAAAAACGCCGTTTAGGTTCAGCCCTGCCATGAGTTGCTACCAAACGTTGCCCTCGGCTGCCTGCGGCCTGTCGGTTCCGGCCTTTTTTTCTTTTCGCTGTCGGCTCGGTCAGTGCTCGGTGGCGCCGTCGCCGTGCGCGGCCGATGTTCGGAGAGTTTTTTCGGTTCGGCCTCCTCTCTTGGCCCTTCGCCCCTTACCGGGGGCCATTTGTAACGGGCTTTGTATGAGGCGGACTGGTATGTGAGAGAGCCCCGAGTTCAACGAAGACTGTTCCGAGGGCATAGCCTTCTGATATACCCTCATATCTCCGTCTCTTGAGCGTCGACTAGCGCCTGGTAGTCCATGAGATAGCGCCGACCTGTTGTCGATTGGCGTCGAGTGGCGTCGCCGAGCGTCGACTCGCCAAAAAGCCGTAATGGCGGTCCCCATGAGTTGCTACCGAACGTTCCCCTCGGGGCCCCTTCCCCTCGTCACGGTAGCCCTTGGCTGGTCCGCGGCGGCCGTGGCGTCCTCCTCGCCGCCTCGCCTTCTCCCTCTTGGGCACGTCGGGCCGGTGTGCCTCTCTCTGCCGCGTGCGGCCTCGTGCCCTGCCTCGCCTCGAGTTGGGCCTCTCCCACTGCAGGGGGAACAACAAGAAATAGTAATGTTTTACTCTTTTTGCTTGTTGTTTGACTATTCGTCATGTTTCCTCCAAAAATCCGCCTGTAGGAGGACATGCCCGACCTAAGTCTAGGCCTTCCAGATGGGGTCGGCGTAGGCGCGGTCGGAGGATCGCGCCGCATCGCCGATGCGATGCAGCGCCGCTGCGGCTCGCTGTTGGGCCCGATTTGCTTCCACGCCGACGTCGCCGATGCATCGCCGGCGCATCGCCGATGCATCGCCGATGCATCGGCGATGCATTGGCGATGTGGCGTCCAGGGCGTCTGCCGCCCAGGGCGGCAGTGGGGCGAGCTGCGGCCGCCGCGCGCGCGCGTGCCATGGCGGCCCCTCCGGCGGGGGCGGCCCCCGGACCCCGGAGGCGGCGCAGCCGACGCGCCCGGGTTCCCCTGCCTCTGGGGCCCCGAGATTCACCGAGCGCGTTCCACTGCTCTTTGGGGAACGTAAGACTCGAGAGCGCCAGAACTCGGGTTTGCCGACGCTTTGTCCTGGATTTTGACGGTCCAGTTTTCGTGGGATGTCTGCCGCGGAAGCTCGCGTCAAATTTCAGATTGGGTTTCGTCATTTTCATGATGGCCCCGTCAGGCCAACCCGAGTCTCCCGAACCCGAGTGACGTCTCCCCGATCCTTTGCTCGCAAAGCGCCTACTCGCAAACGTCAGGAAACACACATGTCCGCCTCGACGTAGTAGATCGTAGATCCTCCCGCGGCGGATCCAGGCCATGTACGAGTATTAGTTATTTTGCGAGTAGTGGACCGCGCTCGTCTGCAGACGGTGCGGCGGCCACACCGTCAGGTTCGAGGGGATGCTCGAGGTCTGAGGTCCTCGAGCGTGCTCGCCGGGCCTCGGCGGTCTTCCGGCCACGACGGGCGCTCGAGCGGCGGCGCCCCGCCGAGGGCGTTCCGGGGGTGATCGGCTCGTCCCGAGCGGCCGCTGGAGACCCGAGCCACGGCCCAGAAGCCAAACACGCGGCGAAGGGCCGGCGTGATTCGAGTAGGAGATCGATTACAGAATTGATTTACCCCTGAATCGATTTTCCGTTGAATCTGCGAGAAACTCGTAGGATGCTCCGTAGATCTACTGAGCATCCTACATCATTTTAGTAGCTTCGATGAAGACATCAATTTCGGGGTAAATCAATTCTGTAGTCGATCCACTATTCGAGTGATGAGTCAGTGGGGATGCGGGGTGGCCACACGGCGTTGGACCTTGGGTCGTTCTCCGCGCAGGCGTCTCGGGCGACTGGGGCCCCAGGGTCTCAAGACCGTCACTTTCGGCAGCAGCTCATGGGAGCCTGGTATGCCTTCTTGAAGCCGTCTGTGGCGTCGACCAGCGTCGATTAGCGCCTGGGAGTCGATGAGACAGCGCCGATTTAGCGGTAAGCGCCGATTGGCGTCGACTTGGCGTCGAATAGCGTCGACTTAGCGTCGAATAGCGTCGATTTGCAGGAGCCGACAAGATGGTACGGGAGGCTCCCATGAGTTGCCACCGAACCGTCCAGTGGCGGGCCGTTCGGCGAGGTCGTTGGGGATTCCGAGGCCACCGAACGGTCTGTCACTGCACCGTTCTGGGGACCGCGCCTGTCTTCGGGCCTCCCAGCTGGGGCCGAAGCGGCTGGGGTCGGAGGAGTGCGCCGCCGTCGCTGGTGCACGGGCAGTCCGGCGCGGTCTGCAGCCCGCTCTCTTCCCCATCCAGCACTTCAGCGGTGCACCGCGGACGCACCAGCTGCGCGGCGCGATGCTCCAACCCCACCTGCTCCGGCCCCACCTGGGAGGCCTTCGCTGTCGGCGCGGAGCAGATGGGCCCTGGGAGCTCTGGAGAGGAGGGGTCCTCGAAGGTGCCCATGGTTCCCTCGGTTCGGCTGCGTCGCGGTCAGTTGCGTTCGATCGGTTCGGTTCGGTCGGCTGCGGTGTGGTTGCTGCGTTGCTGCGCCCCTCTTCAGTATGACCTGCTTCTGTTCCGCCGTCAAGGACGCCTGCCCCATGGCGGCTGGAATCTCTCTACCCTGACGTGGCCCCGTAGGGGTTTACACTTTCCAGCCGCCCTTGGGCGGCGTCCCCGGCACCAAAACAGTTTGTCTCATACAGCTGTTCGTCCGCCATTTTGCTCGGCTGCCTGCGGCCTGTCGGTTCCGGCCTTTTTCTCTTTTCGCTGTCGGCTCGGTCAGTGCTCGGTGGCGCCGTCGCCGTGCGCGGCCGATGTTCGGAGAGTTTTTTCGGTTCGGCCTCCTCTCTTGGCCCTTCGCCCCTCACCGGGGGCCATTTGTAACGGGCTTTGTATGAGGCGGACTGGTATGTGAGAGAGCCCCGAGTTCAACGAAGACTGTTCCGAGGGCATAGCCTTCTGATATACCCTCATATCTCCGTCTCTTGAGCGTCGACTAGCGCCTGGTAGTCCATGAGATAGCGCCGACCTGTTGTCGATTGGCGTCGAGTGTCGTCGCCGAGCGTCGACTCGCCAAAAAGCCGTAATGGCGGTCCCCATGAGTTGTTACCGAACGTTCCCCTCGGGGCCCCTTCCCCTCGTCACGGTAGCCCTTGGCTGGTCCGCGGCGGCCGTGGTGTCCTCCTCGCCGCCTCGCCTTCTCCCTCTTGGGCACATCGGGCCGGTGTGCCCCTCTGCCGCGTGCGGCCTCGTGCTCTGCCTCGCCTCGAGTCGGGCCTCTCCCTCTGCAGGGGAACTGGTCGGGGGACGAGTTGTCATGGTATGTGTTGACTATTTGGGCGCATGTGTTGGCTATGTTTATTTGTCCCTCGAAATCCGCCTGCAGGAGGACACACCAGACCTAAGCCTCGCCTCTTCTCGTCCTACGCTCGTGTTTCTCTATTTCCTTCATCTCTCTTCCCCCCAGGTTCCAACGTTTCCACTGGCTCCGCTTATGCTTTTTGTTCGGGCTGTTGGCCATACCCCTCTTACTCCACCTGACCCCAGAAAGCCCTTGCTGTGCCTTTCCTCCTCCTCCTCTTCGTCTTACTTCCTCCGCCCCCTCCTCCTCCTCCTCCTCCTCCTCCTCGTCCCTCCTCCTCGTCGTCCCTCCTCCTCGTCCCTCCTCCTCCTCCTCCTTCTCCTCCTCCTCCTCTCTCCTCCGCACTTTTTCCTCCTCTCCCTCCCTCCGTCTTTCTGCCCCCTACTTTCTCCCACTTCTCCCCCCCACCCGTTGTTTCATTTCTCTCCTCCTTGTTAGTCTCTGTCTCCTCTGCCATCCTTCCCCATCCACTCCTTTCTCCTCCCCTCCACCTCCTCCGCCACCTCGCAATATGATTCATCATCCTCTTCACCATCCTTCGGGAGTCGTCTTGGCCTAAGCCTGTTTAGCTCTCGATGGTTTCCTCGCGCAGTGCAGCAGTGGAGCGATGCAGGTCGGGGGGCAAAACTCAACTGCCCGTGTGTTGACGAAGGGGGCATCTTCCACGCCAGTGTTGTCACGGCTTGACTCTACAACATCATGTGAGTCGACGATCGTTGTTAGCATGCGTTTGCGCCCATTGATAGGACGCGAGGCAGGACAGTCACACTGCATCAAAATTGAAAATAATGTCATCACCGTCGTCGACAGCGTCTTGCCAAATCCTCTACGGGGCATCAAGGAGTTTGCTTTCGACAATGCCATGGACAGCAGCGATTTGGACAGCCCCGACTGTGTAAGCCAGGCTCAGTGCTACGAGCTCGTGGGATCAAGCATTAAAGACTATGTGATGCAAGGGTACAACGCGTGTCTTTTTTGCTACGGCCAGACAGGTACTGGGAAAACCACTACTATCATGGGACAGAATTTTCCGGTTGAAGAGCGAGGGTTGTTGCCGCGTGTGGTGGTGGATTTATTCAGGGATGTAGAGCGGATGCGCAGTGAGGGTTCACAGGTTTCCATAAAGTTCCAAATGGTGGAGGTATACAACGAGAAATTGACCGATCTTATCGCCGCCCACGTCCTCGGAAAGAAAAACAAGAAGGTCGACGTGCACGCGCACCCGCGGCACGGGGTGTACATCACGGGTGCTTCCGAGGAGTTGGTCGACGATGCAGACAGTCTTCTGAAGTTGGTTGATTACGGGAATTCTATGAAGACGGTGCACGCTACGGCCATGAACGCCCAGAGTTCTCGCGGCCATACGGTGGTCAAAATCAAGCTGGAGATGTCCAGCGGCGCAGGCGACTTCGCTCTGCGGTCGGAGCTATCGGAGTCGCCTCGGGCGAGTCGCCGCCGCCCTCCGCCTTGAGTGGAAGCGGCTGGCGTGGCCAAGGGGTGGGCCAGCGTTTGGCAAAGGAGCTGCGGATGTCTTGCATCGGCGGTGGGCCCCCCCTGGTGGCGCCTCTGGCGCCGCCCAGCGCAGATGCAGGAGGAAGCCGCGCGGATTTCCGAACGGTTATGTCCATACAGTTTTTGTTGCGTCTCGAACGTTCCCCCCAGACCCGCCCCCTGCCCCCCCTTCCGCCCAGCGTCCGAAACGCGGAACAAGAACACGTTCACCGGGGCTTCGTGCCTGCCTTTCTGGGTTGGGCCTGGTGCCCAGTGGGAGGAGGAGGAGGAGAAGGAGGAGGAGGAGGAGGAGGAGGAGGTGGGCGGCGGAGGACGACGAGAAGGAGGCGGAGGAGGAGGCGGAGGAGGTGGGCGGGGGAGGCGGAGGAGGTGGGCGGGGGAGGCGGAGGAGGCGGAGGGCGGAGGAGGAGGAGGCGGAGGGCGGAGGAGGAGGAGGAGGAGGCGGAGGAGGCGGAGGAGGCGGAGGAGGTGGGCGGTGGAGGAGGCGGCGGAGGTGGGCGCCTCGTGGCTCCCGTGCGCTGGGCGGGCGTGCCGGGGTGGCCCCGGTGCCCGCCCGGGAGCGCCTCTTGCGGGCGCCCACGGAGTTGGCATGCCAGAGAGAGAAGCAGGCTCTAGCATTCCACCCCCCTGGGGTGATGCCCCCCTTCTCGTGTCGCAGTTTGCACAGGATCTGCCCTCGTCGCCCCCTTTCCGTGGGACACCTCTCCATCCCAGAGGCCAACGGGGCATTCGCCCAGCTCGCCCCTGTCAAGCAATATACCATGCGCGCGCACCCGTTGATCTCAAACATTCACGTTGCAATTTATCCCTTGCAGACAAAATACACTGTGCCCACACGCGCGCCCACAGGTCGTATTCATGCCAAACACGCAAGTGCTGCAAACATTTCAATATAAAATTGTGGAACCTTTTTTCATGTTTGCCACCACGCATTTTGCAGAGGGTCTGCCCGCGCGCATTGACTGAAATTCGAAGACAACGACATAAAGCTAGCAATCGCGCTCAACATTCGCATTCTCGATTCACCACGCGGTGCATCCGTGTTGATCTAGCATGCGCCCATTTTTCGAATACGTATCCAATACTATCATGCGGGCCATACGCGTGCGCGTGTCGGATTTCTTCCAACACCATTGATTTCGACGCAGTTCACGAGAAGTTCTTCAAACACATTTGAACAAAAACATAGTTCAACAATAGGTCTACAAGATGTCTTGCATTTCCGTGTGCGCACATTTCCTCATTATCCTCTTCATCAGCGCCACCGCATCATCGCCGTTATCGCCATCGTCAGTTGCCGCCATTGCCTCCATAATCAGCCAACCACCTTCATCACCCACACATGCGCATCGTCATCGTCATCGTCGTCACCAGCATCGGCGCCGCGCCGTCATTGGCTTTGCCGTCAGCATCATCACCCTCATCATCATTATCAGCAGCATCATCAGCATCACTGGCATCATCCTCGTCATCATCATCACCGTCATCATCACAATCCTCATCATCATCAGCACCATCACCGTCATCATCATCGTCGTCGCCATCATTACCAACATCATCAGCATCATCATCATCAGCATCATCATCATCGGCGTCGTCATCATCATCAGCATCATCACCATCGCCATCACCATCGCCACCACCATCGCTACTATCATCATCGTTGCCGTTGTTGTCGATGTCATCATTACATCGCGACCGCCGTAGTCACCAACCCGTGCTGAAGTGCCCGTGCGTCAGCGCGGCCTTTGAGACGCGTTTGGAAGTTCCCATCGGTCAGCGCCGTCGCGGCCGCGTCGGTTGTACCAAACCAGGTTGCCGCTCTGCGCGCGAGCGTGCGCGCGCGCCAGCGCAGCCGCAGAAATGTGCCAGCCTCTGCCGAGTCGTCTACGCAATTGCGGCCGCGCATGGATTGTGCAAAGCGAGTTGCAGGTGGTGGGTGGGATGATTGCGCGAGCAGTGGGGTTGACGACCTCAACGTCCGCAAGGTTGATCGCACCTCATAGCTTGCACCATGTAGATTGTGCAGCTACTAGCTTGCACAACGTAGCTTGCGCCACAAACACGCATTTCAAATGAAGCTGGATTTTACCGCCCTCGCTCCCCAGATTCAGCGGTACTCCCGGGTGTATTGCAATGTACACATTGTTTTGCTTCCTCGTTCGTCCCCCAAGCAGTGAGTGCACTCAGGGGTTCTTGTGTTTGTCTCCCACGGTAAGGCACTCTTGGGCATTATTGGGTTGTTTTGGAGCCGCCCGCGGGCGTTTTTGCGTTGTCCTCCGGCCTGGTGAATCATTCCCGACGCGATCTGGTGAGGAAGACCGGGAGAAACACGAACCCGTGACCGCTTACAGTTGTTTCATTGGTTCGGCCGCCAGCTGCTTTTCGCCATCTTGGACTCATTTGGTCGAAACAAGAGCGCTCAACCCCCCCCCAACCACCCCCCGAACCTGGTGGCAACGGCCTCCCTGGGGAGAGGCAGAAATGTGATAGTCGGGTGGTGCCAAAGGTCGTCGAGTGGCTCTCGGGATCGGGCCTCCTTGAAAGGCCTTGGGAACCCCTCGGCGCCATCTTGGGCCATCATCCATCGGAGGCCACGTGACTGTTCCTCTCGGGCCTTCCTTGGCTCCTCGAAGAGTATATGTTACCATCTTGGCGGCTTGGAGGAGGCCTCCGGGACCGTCTTGGCGATTCTTGGGGCGTCTTGAGGGCTTCTCTGGCCAAGACGGACGGACATGGATGAGGCACATGGGGGGTGTCGCCAGGGGGAAAATAGTTTGTGGAGAGGCGTAGGAGAATTTCCTGGGGGCCTCCAGAGGGTCCCCAGGCATATGGAAACCCGAAGAGGAACGCGAACATCCCAAAGTTGTGCTTCTCGAGCCTCCTCCTGCTCCTCCTCGAGCAAGCCGCAGAGCACCCGCGCGGTGATAGCCGCACGTGGCGAGACCAAGGCGGGCCCCGCCCTTCTACCGCCAGCCCCTCTGCTGCAGCCGTGGGGCCCTAAGGCAGCCTGCTGGAAAATGCCGTGTGCCTTCCCTGGGCTCCATCGACGCGTGCGAAATCAGCGCCCACCAGTAAGAGTACCGAAAGGCCAACCCCCCCCGACACCACGCATCTCGAAGTTGGCGGACGACCGCCCCAGAAAGGGAGTGCGAAGGGCCGAGATGAACGCCCACTCTCTCGAGGGGCACACCGCTTCCCCATCCAACTTGAGATGCGGGGGCGAGGGAGAGACACGTGTCGATGTCTTGCTGCCTTCACCCAGCGCGGCCGTTTACAGTGGAGGCCCATGCCAAGAATCGCCCTGCTTGCCAGGGTGCTGGGGGTTTCTTGGGTTTGAGAGAGCGCGTTTCACGGGCGCTTGCCTTGGGAACATTCGGCGGCGCGTTTCAAACCGGAGGGTGGGCCCCCCCCACCAACATTCGGCGCCGTCGATCAAAACCAGGACGATTCCCCTCTCCCCCAAACCCCCCCCCCCCCCCTCCCCCCCCCTTCCCAGGAGGGGGGGTTCAAATTTCCCCCCCCCCCCCCCTTCGGCGCCGGCGCCAGCGCTGGCGGCCGCCAGCAGCGCCCACGGCGGGGACGCAGCGACGAGGACCAGAGGCAGCGCAGCCCAGGGGGGGAGGTTTATACCTCCCTCCCCCCTTCCCAAGGGGGGGTGGGTTCAACCCCCCCCCTCGGCGCCGGCGCTGGCGGCGGCCAGCAGCGCCGGCCAGCGCTGGCGCCGGCGACGGCGGGGACGCAGTGACGATTACCACCACTACTACCACCACCACGACTACCACCAACACCACCACCACCGCCTCAACCCGCCACCACCACCAACAGCACCACACAATCACCACCACCACCACAGCCACCACCACCACCACAACCACCACCGCAACTCACCATCACCACCACCACCACACAAACCCACCGCCACCACCACCACCACAATCTAGCACACCACCACCACCACCGCCACAACCACCACCACTACCAGCAGCACAACCCACCACCATTACCACAAACCACCACACCACCACCACGACCGCCACCACCACGACCACCGCCACCACCACAACTCACCATTACCACCACCACCACAAAAAAAAACGCACCACCATTACCACCACCACCACAATCTTACCACCACCACCGCCACAACCACCACCACAACAATGTCCACAAACCACCGCCACCATCACAACCCACCACCACCACCACAACCACCACCACCACCACCACCACGAAAACCCACCACCACTACCACCACCACCGCCGCAATCTACCACCACCACCACCGCCACCGCCACAACCACCACCACTACCAGCAGCACCAACAGCACCACACAATCACCACCACCACCACAGCCACCACCACAACCACCACCGCAATTTCCCATCACCACCACCACCACAAGAACACACCACCACCACCGCCACAATCTAGCACACAACCACCACCACCGCCGCCACAACCACCACCACTACCAGCAGCACAACTCACCGCCACAACCACAAACCACCACACCACCACCACCACCGCCACCACAACCACCACAACAAACGTCCACAAACCACCGCCACCACAACCCACCACCACCACCACAAACCACCACTACACCACCACAACCACCACCACCACCACAACTCCCCATCACCACCACCACCACCACCACAAAAACCCACCACAACCACCACCACAATCTAGCACACCACCACCACCACTGCCACAACCACCACCACTACCAGCAGCACAACCCACCGCCACCACAAACCACCATTCCACCATCACCACCGCCACCACAAGCACCACCTCCACAAACCACCGCCACAATCACAACCCACCACCACCACCACAAACAACCACCACACGACCACCAATCCACCACCACCACAACCTTCCACTACCACCACCACCACCACCACCGAAAAAACACCACCACACCACCACCAAACCACCACCACCACCACCACCACCACCACCACCACCACCACCACCACCACCACCACCACCACCACCACCTACCACCGCCAACACCACCACAACCCACCACCACCACCACCACCACCACCACCACCGTCGTCCTCGTCGACGCTCCCCGCCACCGCCGCCCGCCGCCGCAGGCGCCCGCGCCCTCGAAGTAATGGAAATCGTCGTCCCCGCTGCCGTCGCCAGCCGCCGCCGACCCAAGCGCAGCGCCGGCCCGAAGAGAGGGGAAGCAAGTGGGAGGGGGGGTCGAAGCCCCCCCCCCATCCGTCACGGGAAAGGGGGTGGGGGTTCGAACCCCCCCCCTCCGTCACGGGAGGGGGAGGGGGGCAGGGGGGGATTTCGAACCCCCCCCTTCCATCCAGGGGGGGGGAGGTCCGGTTCCTACCCCCCTTTCCCAAGCGACCACAGCGCTCTTTCTTGGGTTTCGATGTTTTTGCCGCGGGAAGCGTGACGTTCCCACGCAAAGAATTCGTGGACGTCCTAGGGTCTCAGGGTTGGGTTTTTTTGTGGAAGGTTTCTTGTGGACTGGCCTCCATTGTATTTCGCAGCCAGCGGTACCTCGGCCCCCTCATCGTTGCCGACGTCCGGAGGCCTTTTGCACGCCTCGGGCTCGTCTCGGGCCTCAGGAGGCCTTGGCTTGTGATGTTCCAACCTACTTTAGTCTCGACCACCAGAAATTACTTCGAGCACCAGGAACGCACCGAACTTGGAGGTTTTTCGCGTGGCGGGCCCCCTGGGAGGCGATGCTTCTCGCGGGTGCTCGATATGCGCGGTATGGGCCACAAAACCCCTGGCGCCTGCACGGACCTCTGGTGCCCCCCCCCCCAGGGACGCGCTCCAGGCGCGCAGGGAGGCCTCCTGCAGCACCCGCGGAGGCCGCTGTCCCCGCGGGGGGCGGGGGCCCGGCGGATACTTCGCGGACCTCGCGGGGCGCGAGAACGAGAAGACCACGAAGGTGGAAGGAGAAATAATGCCATAAACATAAACGTTTCGGGCTCCGCGCGGGTCTCTTGGGTCTGCGTTGCCCCCCCAGCGGCGCCTCTGGCGCCGCCCCTGGCGCGCCCCGCGCGTCAGGGAGCGGGGGTTCCGGCGCAGATCCAAAGAATCCGCGCGGAGCGCTTAAAGTTTATGTTTATGGCGTTTGTCATTTCTAGAAGGTCTCGGGCGACCGCTTGGTGGAGCTGAGCTACATCAACCGCAGCCTCATGTGGCTGACCACGTGCATACAGGCGCCCTGGGGGGTGGCACGGGCAGGAAGAAGGGCCCCATCCCTTCCGCCATCGTCCTTCCTGCTTTCCCCCTTCCTCGCCTCGTTATGCTCGTGCCCCAACCCTCCTCTCTCCTTCCCTGTTCCCTCCCACATCCATCCAGTTTCCCCCTCGCCCACTCCTGCCTCCGTCCTCTGTCCTCCCTGCTCTTCCCTCGTTTTTCACCCTCCGTCCTTTTACCTCCCTCCTCCCTCCGCCCTCCGCCACTTCTCCCTCCGCCCTCCACCTCCGGCGTTTCCTCTTCCTCCACCTCCTCCTTCCTTTTCTCCTCCCCCCTCCTCTCATTCTCCCACTCCTTCTCCCCTTCCCCTTTTCTCTTCCTCCCGCGCCTCCCTCCTTCCTCCTCGTCCTCCTCCTCGTCCTCCTCCTCCTCCTCCTCCTCCTCCGCCTCCGCCTCCGGCTCCGCCTCCGCCTCCGGCTGCGCCTCCCCCTCCTCTTCCCCTCCTCCTCCTCCTCCTCCTCCTCCTCCTCCTCCTCCTCCTCCTCCTCCTCCTCCTCCTCCTCCTCCTCCTCCTCCTCCTCCTCCCCTCCTCCTCCTCCTCCCCCTCCCCCTCCTCCTTCTCCTCTCCTCCTCTCCTCCTCCTCTCCTCGTCCTCCTCCTCCTCCTCCTCTCCTCCTCCTCCTCCTCCCCTCCTCCTCCTTCCCTCCTCCTCCTCACCCTCACCCTCCCCCTCCTCCTCCTCCTCCTCCTCCTCCTCCTCCTCCTCCACCATCTCCCCCTCTCTTCCCCCTCCCCTCCTCCAGGCGCTGGGCGCCGCGGGCAGGGCCAGCAAGCAGCGCTCCTCCGGCGCGGACGAGGGGGATTCCCTGGCGCCCAAGAGGCCAGGGGTCCACCCCGCCTCCCTGCCTCCCTCCTCGAGGATCGAGGCTTCGAGGCTTCGGGGATCGTCCTCCCTCCCCGCTCTTCCTCGTTCCTTCTTCTCCTCCTCCTCCTCCTCCTCCTCCTCCTCCTCCTCCTCCTCCTCCTCCTCCTCCTCCTCCTCCATCCACGCTTCTCCCTCTACACCCTGCCTCCTGCCTCCTCCGCCCTCTCTCTCTTCGACGAACGCCTCCTCCCCTCCTCCGCCCTTCTCACCTTCACCTCTCCTTCTCTCCTTCTCTCCTCCCTCTTCTCTTCTCGCGCCTCTTCCTTCCCCTCCCTCGCGCCCTTCCCCTCCACCAATCCCGTCCCTCCCCCCAGCCTTTTTCCCCGCTCTCATCCGCCTCCCGCTGCCCCCGCCGAGAAAGGCCCGCAGCCGAACTGACGAGGTTCCGAAACTCCAAGCTCACGCTCCTCCTGTACAACGCGCTCAGCGGCAACTCGCGCACGGCCATGATCGGCACCCTAAGCCCGGCGGCAGCAAACTTCGAGGAGACATACAGCACCCTCAAGTTCGCATCCACGGTCAAGAAAATCAAGTTGGAAGCAAAGACCGCCGTCGCCGTCAACAAGGACCTGCTCGTGAGGCAGCTCGAGGAGGAGGTCAGAGAGCTGAAGGAAAAGCTCGGCGCATCGAGTGTCGAGCAACTCCACGCCGATCTGGCGGACGAGGTGTGGGCGATGGAGGCGCTTCGCGGCCAGCGAAATGTGAGCCCAATGCAGTCAGAGGGAGGCGTTTGGGGATCGATCCTCCCTTCCTCCACCCTCCTCTTCGTCCTCTCCTCTCTCCTCCTTCCTTCCTCCTCCCCCCCGTGCAAAGGGGCTCTGCCTGACTGCGTTGGACATGACGGCGACGATGATGATGATGATGATGATGATGATGATGATGATGATGATGATGATGATGATGATGATGATGATGATGATGATGATGATGATGATGAAAATGATGTGTGTTGCTTTTGGAGGCTTTGGCGGCCAGCGAGAAGATGGACAGGTCTGACTACGAGAAGGCGAGCGTGAAGAATGAGCGGGCGCGAAAGCAGACCCTGAGGCAGCTGGGGTTTGAGAGCGCTGGTGGCGCAGGCAGCCACGCTACCCCTGCCTCGGCAAGCAGAGGAGGGGGGAGTATCGAGGAGCAGGAGGAGTAGGTACGGAGTACGACGAGCCAGAGGTGGACAGCTTCGCGAAGACAGTCCGAGTGGAACAGCACATTGGGAAGACCAGGCCGAAGACAATCCGAATGGAAACGCAGAGGAAAACATACGTGTGAAACCTTGCGCTTGACAAACACTACGCGAGAGAGACGCGCGCTCCTCGCAACGCAGGATCTGGGGAGAGTGGTGAATATTAAGTATTCAGATTGAGTAGGTGGGGGCCAGTAGGGCGATCATGTTGATGCGGACGAGGAGGACGAGGGAGAGGTTGCGGAGGAAGAGGATGAAGAGGATGAGGACGAAGTGAACTTGATGATGCCAATGTACGCACGGAAGACGAGGACCAGGAGGAGTATGTGAAGGCGGAGCAGGGAGGAGTCAGGGAGAGGAGGAGGAAGGAGAAGAGAGACGAGGGGAGGGAGGGAGGACATGATTACGGGGAGGGAGGAGGTATGAGGTAAAGATGAGGATGGACGATGAGGAGAAGTATTTGAATGGTGATGCTCACCAGGGGGAGGTGGTTATTGAGGATGAGTTGGATGATGATGGTGGTGACGATGGTGGTGGCTGTTACGAGCGGGGGGGCGATGACGGTGATGATGACGCATCTGTTGTTGTTGATGTTGATGATGATGATGATGATGATGATGATGATGATGATGATGACGGTGGTGTTGATGATGTTGGTGATGATGGTGTTGATGATGATGACGATGACGATGTCGATGATGGTGATGTTGGTGACGACTACGTTGTTGATGATGATGGTGATCATGATGCTGATGACGAGGATAGTGGCAATCATGATGATGATGTTGATGCTGATGGTGATGGTGATGGTGATGGCGATGGCGATGGCGATGACGATGATGATAATGATAGTGATGATGATAATGCTGATGATGATGGTGGTGGTGACGATGCCGATGGTGATGGTGATTGCGATGGTGCTGGTGATGATGGTGGAGATGATGTCGACGAATGGAGGTAACAACGGTGACTGATGATGTTGATGCTTCTGGTGATGGCCGCGTGTTGCTGCTGCTGATGATGCTAATTACGATGGCTGTGGTGATGATGGTGATAACGACGTCGATGATCGACGCTTATGATGATGATAATCATGCTGATGATGATGATGATGATGATGATGATGATGATGATGATCATGCTGATCATGCTGACCATGTTGGTGATGATGCTATCATGCTGATGGTGATGGTGATGCTGATGATGATGGTGATGTTGGTGCAGACGAAGATGATGCTGTTGCTGTTGCTGTTGCTGTTGATGATGATGATGATGATGATGATGATGATGATGATGATGATGTTGACGATGATGATGAAGATGGTGGTGATGATGATGCTGATGATCATGATGAGTATGATGACGATGAGGAGGAGAAGGAACACGAGTTGAGTGAGGAGTGTCAGGAGGAGGATGGGCAGTGGGAGCAGGAAGAGAGGGAAGAGGTTGTGGGGAGGATGTGCTGTAAGGGGGAGGCGTGGTTGGAACAGGTGTTAGCGGCTCGAGGAGTGGGAGTATCAGGACGAGGATCAGGGCGAGGAGGAGGAGGAGGAGGAGCAGCAGCAGCACTATTAGGAGGAGACTCGATGAGGAGTGTGGCACAGGCTACCCTTGCCTCGGCAACTATTCGGACGATCCTCACATGGCTTTCAAGCTGAAGCTCCACATTCCGCCCGATAGACAGGAACACTCAGTCGGATTCGGCGACGATAACGATTTCCGAATACCTCACGGCCTCGGGGTCTGCCGAAGGACGTGCTACCTTCGCAACGATGGCCTTGCCCTTTGGGTTCGTCCAGCACCTCGGGAGTTCGCGGGATCCTCGCCGTCTCTAGAATAGCAACAACCGGCACGACCATAAATGTTCAGAGGTCCGCACGGGCTTTTTGCGTCGGCGCTGGGGTTCCCACGCCACACCCAGTCCTCCCGCGCACGGTGCGAAGGCGCCAGAGGGCGCCGCCGCGGGGGGCGCGGGGAGAGGGGTGTCCGTCGCCGACCCAAGAGATCCGCGCGGACCTCAAGCATTTTATGCGCTTGACGGTTGTTGTTCTTCTACCTTCACGCTCACGTCGAGGTGAACGGCAACAGGATCGAAGACGGCTCCGAGGTTCCAGGCCTCCAAATTGCAGCCGGGGCAGACGGGGTGGAAGGACCGCGCCGCACATCACCGATGCAATGGCCATGCCGTGCGTTCCAGAGCCCGATGTTCTCCATCCAAAGACGCCGAGGCATCGTCGTTGCATCGGCGGTGTGGTGCGACCCATCGATCCCGTCGGCTCCGACCCCACTCGGGAGGCCTCCAGAGGTGGAGCTGAGGCACCTCGACTCTTTGCTGCTCGGGCGCTCGGCGAGGTACTGCGTACTGGTCCGCGAGCTCTCCGCACGCGAGGCGGCCGAGGCTCCCGGGAGTGCCTGCGACGGGAACGACACATCCATCCTCCTCTCCTCCGTGTCGATTCGCGTCGTCGAATCTTCACCTCGTGCTCTGCGGAGGAGGAGGAGGAGGAGGAGGAGGAGGAGGAGGTGGTGCGGGTCGGGGGTCTGAAGTCGACCTCCCAGACTTGTCCACGGGGCTGCGTTCTGACCAGAGCAGAGCCATCCGGAGCTCGGACGGGGAGTCCCGCCCCCGGCCACGAGGGCGCCCCAGGGCCCCCAAAAAACTGGAGGCTTGAGCTCGGCACGTGGCTGCTGGCGTCTCGATTTTTGTGGGAGACGCCCCCAGCCCCCCCCCCCCCAACAAAAAAAACAACACACAACCAAACAAACAATTTTCTAGAAACAAGCTCTTGATTTAGGTGGACATACATATGACAGTTAGTAAGTTCGCTAACTTTAACTGGCGTTCCCAAGTCGCAATGTTAGCATTGATTTTCCTGTGCGTGCATGCTCATATTTTCCCATCTCCCGCTCAGGATTGCGAGGTTACATCTCGCATGCAAAAGGTTTGGAATCCTCGCAATCCCTTCTCCAGCGCATTTTTGTTCCTTCTGTGTTGCGTTCTGTGGGCTATACTCGAGCGCGTCAGCGTCCGCTCTCGCTGATGATCACCGTTCTGACGGACCCAGAGCCCGAAGACGGCCTCCAGACTCCCAACAGGAAAACGCCAGCCGTCTCGATTTCTGTCAGGCTCGGGGCTCAGCGGCCTGGGCCGCAGAGGCGCCCTTGTACATGGTGGACGGCGAAAGGGTGCGAGGATAGCAGCGCGCCGCGCAATCCGCGGGGCGCGGGAGCGTGAAGTCGAATGGCCTGGCTTCTCGAGCCGCTGGACCTGCGTCGGGGCTCACGCAGCGGAGGTCGGCGCTGACGGAGGGTCAGCCGACTCCCTCGGGCTGACACGGGCTTGTCAGGAGGGAAAAAACACAGACACAATGAATCGCCGGTTTCCCAGAACACATGGGAAACTATGGGAAGTGGGAGGGGAGGCAAAAACCCAGAACATATGGGAAGATATGGGGTGTCCTCTTAGTTGTGTCTATTTGTCTGTGTGTCCCAGGGCACCTTCAGGCTTGGGAGCCTCGCGGGGCCGATCTCTCCTTCTCCGCCCTCCGCCGACCCTGGCTGGGAGGAGAGCTGCTGCGTGGCCCGCCCTGGTTCGAGACACGGCCCCGTGGCCGACCCTGGGGTTGGCGCCGACCCGTGTCACTGCCTCCCCGAGCACGGGAACTTTTTGCCAGCCTGATTTCTCGGCATCGTGTAGCCGATCCCCATCCCCATCCCCATCCCTTTCGAGGCCTCCACCAGACTACCACCCCTGTTGGGGATACACCCCTCGAAACCCGAAGGGAACGACCTATATCCCCATCTAGGGGGGCAAATCGGCCAGCGGGGACCAGGCCACGCCGCTGGGGATGGGGATCGGTTGCACAATACTCAGTTTCTACCCCTACGAGTGGCGCCGCTGTACTCTGGTGCCGATCTTCAAATTCTCCTCGCTTTTGAGGGCGCATCCCTGCCCTTCGTCCTGGCCTGGCCAATCTCAGGGGTAGGGATAAGCTTAAGGACGGCTAGTCTCGTCCGCCATCACGGCCTTGGGATGAGGTCTGTAGATTCTTTGCGGAGCTTATGCAAAGCACAGGGCCTGGGAAGTTGGCAAACGCCAGCGGCAGAAATACAGTCATGGAGTAGCAGAGTTGAAGATGCTGTCATTTTAGGGTGCTGACGTCCATGGACAGTTTCTGCGCTCCCAACCGTCGTGGTGCTCGCCCGAGGCGCCTCGCCTGTCCCGGGTCCGAGACGGGGATGTCCTTCCTCAACACGGGGGTCCCAAGTTATGTGATTACGGTTAGCGCGGTGACCTCGACATCCGAGACTTCGCCGCGCGGTCTTGGGACTTCGGCCACGGTCGCCCGAGCAACACGGCCCGAGTCCCAAAACTTGTGCGGCGACCCCGAGCCCTCACCGACGCACCGTACAGTGGAGACCCATGCCAAGAAGCACCCTGCTTGCCTCCAGGGTGCCCTGGGTTTCTCGTGTTTCGATGGTTTTGCGATGGCGAGCGTGCCGCTCCCACATCACAAGTCAATGGATGCCTTGGTGCCTCGGGGTTGCGTCTTCCTTGTGGAAGGCTTCTCGTGGACGGGCCCCCACGGCAGCGGCCCTCCTGCGCAGGCTTCGCTTCCGGGCCACGGCGCGGGTCTCCGGCGGCCGCTCGAGACGAGCCGGGCGCCCCCGAGATATGCCCGCGGCGAGGCGCGGCTGCCGAGAGCACAGCCCGGGGCTTGAGATGGCCGCCGAGGACCGACGAGAGCGTTGAAAAAGTGTCGACCCTCGAGCAGCTGCTCGACCCCACGCGGTGTCCTCTCGAGATGAGGGCCCCCGAGGTTCGGGCGAGGAGAA